TTAGACCGAGTAGTGGCAGAATATGGTGTAGAGAGAAACAGGTACACCAGTTTTCATATGGTGGATATCTAAAAGGGTGAGATAAGCTGGCTGTAATTTAGCTGTCTTCCTCTTGTTACCACATTGAATATAAGCAACGAATGATCAGATAGGGAAAGTGTGGGTCAAACGGTTAATTCTTGAGCCCAGGTCAATGAAATGCTACTCAATTATCTGGAACTGTCTTTGTTACAAAGAATATTGGTAACATTTTCAGTTCATGGGATTTTGCCTAAAATTCTACATCAAATTGAGACATAGTTTTTCTTATTAAAAGTTATACAATTTTCCATGAGTTTCTATGAAACCTGTAATACCTAGAGTCAATCGGAACCTCCAACTGCCCCATTGAGATCGTCTTCACTCAGTGTCTCATACAATTTCTCAAACTTAACATTTTAAAACTCAACTCCAACCTTACCCACAAACCTGCTTTTTCTCTGGTCTTTCCCATCAAGTCACAAAGCTCAGAGCTGCTTTAACTTTTTTTTCCAAAAAATTTTTAATTGAGGTATAGTTTTTACAATATTATATGTTTCAGGTGTACAACGTAGTGATTCACAATTTTTAAAGGTTATACTCCATTTATAACTATTATAAAATATTGGCTATATTCCCTGTGCTGTGCGATATATCCTTGTAGCTTATTTATTTTATAATACATAGTAGTTTGTACCTCTTTATCCCCTACCCCTACCTTACCCCTCCCCCTTCCCTCTCCCCACTGGTAACAACTAGTTTTTCCTCTATGTCGGTGAGTCTGTTTCTTTTTTGCTATAATCACTAGTTTGTTTTATTTTTTAGACTCAACATATAAGTGATATCATACAGTATTTGTCTTTCTCTGTCTTATTTCATTAAGCATAATACCCTGCAAGTCCAATGGAAAAAACGTCATTCTTTTTTTTATGGCTGAGTAATATTCCATTGTGTATACATACCACATCTTCTTTATCCATTCATCTGTTGATATGGACACTTAAGTTGCTGCCATATCTTGGCTGTTGTAAATAATGCTGCAGTGAACATTGGGGTGCATAAATCTTTTTGAATTAATGTTTTCCTTTTCTTCAGATATATACCCAGGAGTGGAATTGCTGGGTGATATGGCAGTTCTATTTTTAGTTTTCTGAGGAATCTTCATACTGTTCTGCACAGTGGTTGCACTAATTTACATTCCCATGACAGTGCATGAGGGCTCCCTTTTCTCCACACCCTCGACCACATTTGTTATTTGTGGTCTTTTAGATGATAGCCATTCTGACAGGTGTGAGGTGATCTCTCATTGTGGTTTCCATTTGCCTTTCCCTGATGATTAGCGACGTTGGACATCTTTTCATGTGTCTGTTGGCCATCTGTATGTCTTCTTTGGAAAAAGTTTTATTCAGGTCTTCTGACCTCTTTTTAATTGGGTGGTTTGTTTTTTGATGATGAGTTGTACTAGAGCTGCTTTAATTCTTTTTTTTTTTTTTTGTGGTACGCGGGCCTCTCACTGCTGTGGCCCCTCCTTTTGCGGACCACCGGCTCCGGACGCGCAGGCTCAGCGGCCATGGCCCACGGGCCCAGACGCTCCGCGGCACGTGGGATCTTCCCGGACCGGGGCACGAAACCGCGTCCGCTGCATCGGCAGCCGGACTCTCAACCACTGTGCCACCACGGAGGCCCTCGAGAGCTGCTTTAATACTTAATTCCCCCTAACCCTCTACACCAATTACACAATTGAGTATGATCAATCCTCCTCCAGCATATATCTCCAGTCTGTCCTATCCTGTATTTATGACAGTGGCTCTGGTTCAGGCTGCCTCCATCTCTTACCTGAATTCCCCCAGTGCACTCCTAACCCTTGTCCCTGCTTCTCTTCTTGCTGCCCTCTCTCTGAGCCATTCCCCACGCAGTCAACGCAGAGATTTTCTTAAAGGAAATAGGTCATTTTGCTCCCTTGCTCAGAACCCATCCGTGATTTCCTTTTGTACTTAAGGTAAAATTCAAAATCGTTTTTTTTGGTTACAGAGTCTGGTACATGCTGATCCCGTTCACATCTGCCAGCTCCACTCTTCCCTGGTGCTGTTTCCTGTCTCAGAGGCTCCTATCCCAACCCTTTACTTGGCCAATTCTATTCATTCTTCACATTTCAGCCTAAAATGCCATTTTCCAAGGAGGTATTTGCTGAGCCTCCCCCTTCAGATGTGTTGCTTCTTCTCGGCATGGTCAAGGAAGGCCTCCCTTTGCAGGTGACTGGCCTCAGGGCTGACCCGAAATGACAGCAGGAGTGACCGCTTCAGGATCTACAGAAGGAGCAGTGCCCGCAAGGCCTGAGGCTGAGATGACCGGGAACTGCAATCAAGCTGCCTTCAAGCCACACGAGGCTCAACTTGCTAAAGCCCTTGGACAAGAGAGTCTCTACACAGAGTCAAATAATTCAGAGATTTTTCTTCAGCTGAGGCCTGCTTTGCAAGAAGCAGATCTCCACTCAAAGTCATCAACTCTCGTTTAGATTCCTAAACAGGTTTCAAAAGTATTTGTAATGCCATTGGCCCAGCTCAGCAGTGGGTTCGTGAGGGCTCAGTGACTCTGATATACAAGGTACCCCAAACCTGGTTTCCTCTTGGGCAAGAAGCATCATAGCATACAAAAAGCATTGATTTCAACACCAGTGAAACTTGGGCCCAAATCTCAGCTTTGTTACATATCGGCTGTCAAACTTGGGTACCGTATTTCTTTGCTCTGAGCGAGTCTCTAACCTGGTGGGCGGTAGTTGGGATTAAAGGATGTGCTGATGATCTGGCACTAAGCACAAAGCAGTTGCCTACAGATCATTCTGATCATTGTCTGCCTGTGATATTTACCCTCTGCCTAAAATTATCCAAGGGATTTCTCTCCAATTTTAAGACTGCTTCACATCAACTTAGCAACTATGTACAATAGTATTACACATGCAAGCTTTTGAAAAGAAAACAACTGATGAACACATTGGCCAGAATTCCTTAATGGCTTCTCTCCTGAAAGAAGGAAGAGAAAAATGATTCTGTGAGGTAAAGATAAATGTTATAGAGAATATAGTTTCCTCTAGTTTTTATTTTATCTTTTTATTCTCTCTGAAGACAGTCTCAAGGAATGTGGAAGACTTCAAAAGCAGAATAGAAGCGCTCAACTTTGGCACATGGAGACCTTTATGGCTTTTCTGTTTACACAGTGATTTTTTTTTTTTTTTAAGCCCTAGATAACAAAGTATCAAGAGTGGAATTGGGAGGCAGCCTTCCAGATCGAAATGCTTAAGTAAAACCTTAGGTCAGAGTGATTCCACACAAATAAATGTTAGTTTGACACTCGAGGGAGCATGTTCTGATTTGGTTCTGATTTGGTTTCTGTCCTCAATGTTTTACATTTTAATCCTGCCACAGACTTTGGATTAAAAAGTTGTTACCTTCATCCTCATGCTCAAATGTTGAGGCTCAAACAGAGCAAATCCAGTAGATTTATGTAGCTTTTCCCTGGCCTGGATGGAGTAGTGGTACATTTTTTATTTACATAGAGACTTTGTTAACAGCACCAAATACAATCGTTTGCTTTTGTTTGTTTTCTCCTTCTCTTTTTTCTAGGATTATGACAGTTTCTTTGAATCCAAGGAAAGCAACACAGTCTTTTCATTCTTAGGCCTCAAATCACAGTTGGCATCAAAGGTAGGTCAATCTTTTCTTGTTTTAAGATGTATCTTTCTTGAGTTGTTCTTAGGGATTGAGGTTGAAGGAGTGCGTATCTAGTCTCCTAAATTTTCAGCTTTTGCGTTCTCAGATGCACAGTTAGGACTGCTCAGCGTAAATAAAGACACACAAGGAAGCCATTTTTTTTTTTCTTTCCCATTTTCAATTGTTGCTGTATATTAGAGTTTATCTTTACTTAAAACTCAGTTTATTTATAATTTATATCTCCTTCTTCCAAGAAAAATTTAAGGTAGCAAAAACTAGTAGGTGCTTTTTATTTTAAAGTGCAAGTTCACATTACTTTACATTTTTTGAAATAGAATCAAAGCCATGTTTTTAAGGTCGTCTGCAACTTAAGTCTTTTACACTGGAAGGGACATGGTTTGCAATAGCCAATGGTCAACCTTGAAAAAAAGGGCAATTCCTAAACTAATCAGAGTGTTTTTGAAGCCACTTGATTATGTCATATGTCTTTTAGCAAATGTAAAAGGCTCAAACTTTTCTAATATTTAGAGCTATAGATGATATATATTATGGTAACTTTGTGAAGCACATGGATTCACTTACAAAATAAAAAATAACATTTCTTTATTAAATAAGGCAGTATTTTGATTGTTATTTCCACTTCAGAAATACTATTTTTTTCTGATTATGAAAGTAGCCTAGGCTCATTTAGAAAAATTGGGAAAATGCAAAAAAGTACAAAGTAGAAAATAAAAAGTCACCAGAGAAAACCACATAAACATCTTTGGTGTATTTCCTTGCAACCTTTATATTCATAGCAATTGAGGTTTTGACTGTATTTCAAATTGAAACTGAATTCTAAAGCTTCTGTTTGTAACACTGAATTGAAATGAAAGTACATTGCTGGGAACTTTGATATCTGTAAGGAATAGGTCTTTTGAGGCTACCCAGGATTTGTGCCGTTTCTGGAACACTTGTGGGAGGAAGACAGAGACTATCAATAATAAAAATTATACAACAGCACCTGTAGTTCCTCGCGGATGTGAAATCATGCTTTGTTATACATCAGTAAGTCCACAGATGCTTGTGGGTGGTTTCTGTGCACATGTTTTAAACAGAGACAAAACCCACACAGAAAACCCTTAAAGGCTCTTAAAAACTCTCTTTATAAAGATGGAACATTGGAATACTTAGGAAAATGAAAGTATTTTTGTAACATGTTTCATGCAAAGACATGTAAACCATCCAGATTTGTCTTCAGAGAACTGGAAAAAACTGGGATAGGAGCAGTCTAACAGATGCATAAATCCAGCGGACATCAGCGTCTGTGCAAAAACCTTTGAAAAATACTGCGTGCTTGCCATCTTTGTTCTCATTTTCCCTGAAGATGTAGGTTCCTTTGAGAGGCTTCGGGCTGACTTTTTTACTCTTTGAAAATATTTATTCTCTTAGAAATTTCTCAGGAAACCTATGACCTGTAACGGTCATGGGATTGGAGCTGGTCTTGATGCCATTGAGGTTTGCTTGATTGCAGGAGACCATTCCATGGTCAGCGAGGGCGCTAGGCACCTGCACCCATTCAGCCCCCCGCTTTCAGGCGCCTGAGTCAGTCAGACATGAGCAGGGGCCCACGGAACCAGAGTGGAAGGCCACGGTGCCAGTGTGTGTGCCATCCCTCTCGTGAGCCCTTCAGGGCCTTAAGGTTTAATAGCAACTCATGCTTCACTTCCATAGGAAAGAAGTGCAAATATCTTTAAGAGCGAGTCAGCATTTTCCCGCTTTCTAGTTATTCATTTTGTACCTTGGTAGTAATTCGTTATACAGTCTACCCTCTAAGGCCTAGACGGAGCATTCACGGCTGTAATGTACCAAAAGATGGAGCCCCCTTTCCTGTCTCCTTTCCTACCCTCTCTGCAGCACACACACACACACACACACACACACACACACACACACACACACACACACACACACACACACACACACACACACGACCTGTAACGGTCATGGGATTGGAGCTGGTCTTGATGCCATTGAGGTTTGCTTGATTGCAGGAGACCATTCCATGGTCAGCGAGGGCGCTAGGCACCTGCACCCATTCAGCCCCCCGCTTTCAGGCGCCTGAGTCAGTCAGACATGAGCAGGGGCCCACGGAACCAGAGTGGAAGGCCACGGTGCCAGTGTGTGTGCCATCCCTCTCGTGAGCCCTTCAGGGCCTTAAGGTTTAATAGCAACTCATGCTTCACTTCCATAGGAAAGAAGTGCAAATATCTTTAAGAGCGAGTCAGCATTTTCCCGCTTTCTAGTTATTCATTTTGTACCTTGGTAGTAATTCGTTATACAGTCTACCCTCTAAGGCCTAGACGGAGCATTCACGGCTGTAATGTACCAAAAGATGGAGCCCCCTTTCCTGTCTCCTTTCCTACCCTCTCTGCAGCGCGCACACACACACACACACACACACACACACACCCACACACACACACACACACACACACACACACACACACACACACACACACACACACGAAAGACCAGGCGAGCAAGCCCACCAGGGGACGTATAAAGACTCCATTAGCATCTAATTGCTCTCACACAGTGAGGGGAGACGAAGTCCGTAGGAAAAGAACATTCACAGACCCAACTGTAGACCCTGGGCAGTTCTCCAAAGTGGATGGGGCAGAGGAGGGTAGGAGGCCACCGAATAGCGGCCTGCAGGCCACATTGGCTCTGGATGTGTTTGTCCTGCACAGACTTTTTTTTAAAGACTTCAGGTGAGTTGCTGGCATTTAAAATGCAGATTTCCCACCTTTCTCCAGAATTTGAATTGTTGCAGCCCTGGTGGGGGGTGGAGGGGGTTCCCACATCCTTCTGTGGCCGGCTGGAGCCCACCGTGGTACCTACCGAAAAGAAAAGAAGGCCTTTTCACCAATACTTTGCAGGTAGAAAATCATCAATTTTCTTATCGTAACAGATTCAAAGCAGAGCCTGAAATGGAAGTTTCTGCTTTTGGATCCCTGCCATTCAGGGGTGATATTGAAAATATGCAACCACCAGTAAACCTTGAGCACTGAGCAGCCGGGGAGCAGGTCTCAGAGGCCCACTCCCAGCCGATGCCAGGGGTCAGCCATCCAGTGGCTGGATCATGGTAGCACTTGGGGGAGAGGGGTATCAGCTATTTACTAATAGGTATGGCCATTCCAGTGCCGTTCGTCCCCTCAGGTCACCCTCCGCAGGGCCCCTGAGTAAGGTAACCCCCGGCCACGCCACTCACCCAGGTGTGAGTGGAACAGTACCTCAGAGGAGTTTCCTCAGATGTTGAAAACCTGTGGCTTTCTTTCCACTTTTATATTTGGCAGGTCAGGTGGGTGTGACTTAACTCTGAGCTCAGATCCCTAAACCCAGGATCTATTTGCTCTTATCCATCACATGGCGGTGACTTATTCTGATTTCCAACATCTCTGTTCCTGACATTTGAAATATCACCGCCAGGGTGAAATTTCTTGCCCGCACAATGCAATAACTGGCTTTTTTTTTTTTTTTTTAAATAAATAGGCAGAACCTTAGCGAAGACAAGCGGAAGAGGACGGAGATGCATTTTGGAGCGCCCCGGTACTCAGCACACACCTGCTTACGTAATGCATCACTGTGACAGAAGCCACATGCATTATCAGTAACTTTGCTTGCCATGGAAAAGGTGTTTTGGGAAGACATGGGTCTAATGGGATTGCATGAGTGCTTTAAACCAAATCAGGACCGTGGTGGGTTTTTTCCTTGTTTTCAGAATTGCCTGCAGTTGCCTCACTCACCCGAACGTACTGTCACCTGTTACAGGTGTGCCTCCTGAATAACTGAGTGATAAGCAGGTGGCACCATCAGAGAGAAAATACTGGATCTGCCCTGGGTTGTAGTTGATGCCAGGATTGCTCAGACCTGCTTCTCTTCAGGCTGCCTAGGTGGTGTCCTTGAGATTAGTCTGCCAGGCTATTAGACTATTTTGATCAGAAAGGAAAAAAAGCAATGTTGGTTGACAAAGGGCTAAAGATCTTTGCTGCAGATTCACAAGCATCACTATTCCAGTGCTTTGTCATAACTGTAGAAAAAGTTAGATGTTCTAGCCTCCTTTTGGTAATGGAAATTCTTACCCCCATAAATCCTCCAAAGCCCTACAGATGTTTCCAGAAATCACTGTTGCAACAATGTGTGATCAGAACCAAGTGACAGGGATGAAAAGAATTGCTATTTGGAAAAATACATGCTTCTTTATCTCTTACAAAGGAAAAGTTTCACCTAATGTGTAAGATGACTTAAAAGATACATTTAAAGAGGTGCACTGATAGTTAATTTATAGGGACATTATCTGACTCGTACCTGAAGGCATTGCAGCTCTAGCAACTTATTATGCGTAAGTGCACATATATTTTTAAACGCAGCTCCCCCAACTAATAGCTGCTTATATATTTTGCAAAGGGATTGTATTTTTCGAGAAAGGAAGATCTCAGTTAGATATATTTTGTGAACCCTTGGTGAGGCATATTAAAAGATACTAATATTGCTGCACACTTTAATTTTTTTTCCTGTGTTACTTTTCATTGGTCCTCTGACACTGCCAGCTCATATTTCTGGCCAATGCACAGTTCCGGATTTTCAGAGTAACATAGATACATGTTCTCATTCCATATATGAACACCAGTGATTTTTCAGAACAGAGTACATACGAGAAAGGGGCTGTCAGAGACTCACTCTGAATTGTACTTGGCATGTGAAACCTCTCCTTCCTTTGGAGTGGGTGCTGACAAACACTGAACCTGTCGACTTCATTAGGGCAAAGGCTCCTTTTCTGCATCCTTGTCCCTGCTCACATTTTTTTTAGAGTTTTTAGTTGCCAAACCTGGGAATAGTCTTGAATAGAATAAATTCAGAGTGCTGCCTAAGATATTCTGCTATTCTCAGCGTCCTGACGGTGGACCTGCCCTTTTGATTCTGAGCAGGAAGTTTGTAAGAAATGGAAAGAACAGAAGAATTTAGTCCCTGTCACCTGTGTTCTCTCTCCCTCCAACTTGCTAAATGTGGACTATTGTAAAGAACTTGTTGAATGCTAAAGCTGACATCCCAGCCTGAGATTTGCATCCCAGGACTACAACCAGAAGAAAAGCATGCCACTGATTCCTACATGACTGGAACAGATACATAATCCACAATTTTCTCTGCAAGGAAAGCTGCTGTAAAATCACGGCTATGGTTGCTTAGTTGGCATTAAATACGAACCAGGTCAAATGCCACTTGATAAATCCCAGGGACTAACCAGGAAATGTTTTTGAACTGGATATCGTGTTAAAGTCTAAGAAGACTTAGAATCTCTTTTTAAGATACAGCAATTTTTAAAAAGTTAATGTTGCAATGGTCTAACTTACATTTTGTCTACTCTTGCCAGTGAGTACCGAGAAGCAACTTGGTAAGATTGAGTCTTGAGGTTGTAGGATCAATACAATACCTGCTGGACCAAGAAAGCTACTCAGAATTGTTTGTCTCAAAACTTCTGAATTACTCTGGTTGTAGTAGGCCCAGTATGGTTTGTCCTAAACAGACTAGATGAATAGGAGAGCTAAATTATTTACCACAGTAACAGATCATCTACCCCACTCCACTTTTTTTTTTTTTTTTTTTTTGGTGCGAAAAAAGGGTATAATTGCTTTACAATGGTGTGTTAGTTTCTGCTTTATAACAGAGTGAGTCCAAAGGGATTGTATTTTTCGAGAAAGGAAGATCTCAGTTAGATATATTTTGTGAACCCTTGGTGAGGCATATTAAAAGATACTAATATTGCTGCACACTTTAATTTTTTTTCCTGTGTTACTTTTCATTGGTCCTCTGACACTGCCAGCTCATATTTCTGGCCAATGCACAGTTCCGGATTTTCAGAGTAACATAGATACATGTTCTCATTCCATATATGAACACCAGTGATTTTTCAGAACAGAGTACATACGAGAAAGGGGCTGTCAGAGACTCACTCTGAATTGTACTTGGCATGTGAAACCTCTCCTTCCTTTGGAGTGGGTGCTGACAAACACTGAACCTGTCGACTTCATTAGGGCAAAGGCTCCTTTTCTGCATCCTTGTCCCTGCTCACATTTTTTTTAGAGTTTTTAGTTGCCAAACCTGGGAATAGTCTTGAATAGAATAAATTCAGAGTGCTGCCTAAGATATTCTGCTATTCTCAGCGTCCTGACGGTGGACCTGCCCTTTTGATTCTGAGCAGGAAGTTTGTAAGAAATGGAAAGAACAGAAGAATTTAGTCCCTGTCACCTGTGTTCTCTCTCCCTCCAACTTGCTAAATGTGGACTATTGTAAAGAACTTGTTGAATGCTAAAGCTGACATCCCAGCCTGAGATTTGCATCCCAGGACTACAACCAGAAGAAAAGCATGCCACTGATTCCTACATGACTGGAACAGATACATAATCCACAATTTTCTCTGCAAGGAAAGCTGCTGTAAAATCACGGCTATGGTTGCTTAGTTGGCATTAAATACGAACCAGGTCAAATGCCACTTGATAAATCCCAGGGACTAACCAGGAAATGTTTTTGAACTGGATATCGTG